TAGAGCGGTTTTCATTTGAGTGTCGAAAAGTAATTGGTTTTGCACTTTCTACACGATGCGATTGGCTTAAAAGATTCGCGCCACCTTTTCATCCAATCAGAAGTAAAACCAAAGCCAATTGTGACGCGCTCGCATGCATTTTCCCGCGCTTTGCGTCAGCCACATGTAATTACTTCGAGTTTTGATTGGTTCAATGTATTGTCTGTGTCCTATGTGATTGGCCAGAGTAATTACTTTGGTTTTGGTTTTACGACACTCAAACGAAAACCACTCTAATCTTAGTGTGTTACTAAAATTCGTACTTCCGTTTCCTCCACTGGATTCAACCGAAATTCAAAAAGCTCAGTTGACTTATAACAGATTTCAGCGATTTCTCAGAGCCAATTGACTCTGAATTTCCTTTCAAGCTACGCTTATTAACCTGGCTCAGTAATAAATCGGTATAATTGTAGAATAGTTTAGGGAGTTTTACGTGCGAATACTGTAAAATATTGTTCATCAATGTCGATTGCAAAATTGCAAGGTAAGCAAAAACTTAAAACAGCCTTTCTGTGTGAGATGGTTAAGTTCCTGATTGCTTCAGAGTTTGATTGCTTGCTCACTTAGTTGCTGAATAATAAGTGTTGTCGCGATTTTTAACAATATTAGTTCGTATGAGTTTGTTTTCTAACCCGGAGCCTTAGTCAAACAAGACAAGATTATTCTCTCTTGATTCAAACATCACAAAACAAGGACATTTAGAGAAATCAAAGGATATAATAGCGAGACAGAGTGGATGTGTGTTTGTGTTTTTTAATCGACTACTTTTATCATAATCATGCCGTTCCTCAGAAATCAAGTATTATAACAAGCTTCATTTGTACTTCTTTGACATCCGAACTTTAAAGCCCAAGTTTATTTGCTTAATATTTAGTCTATTATGAGGTTACATTTTACCTAGAAGTTGAAGTAAAGTCAGATAAAATCTGTCACCTTAGTTATTTTTTTAATTATTTTTATTCAGATTTTGAAAATAATTTTGCAAGTGAAAGCGCTCCTCTGTCTTGTGTCACGAAAACGCCTTGATCGAAGATGCTGAACTACATCTCGGCCACCTCTTACGTCAATGCTATCATGTGATGAATAAAAAAGCATCTCAGATGCAACAAATAATTCTCCCTTAAGATTTTCATTTGACAGCAATTTTTTACCAATTTAACTCATGATTATCGAGAGACGCCGGTAAGTCAGGAGTAATTACCGCTGAAATTCAACGCCGTTATAACAGTGTATTGTTTTAAACGTTTTTGTATAATTATAAAGGTTTTTGTCATTTAAATCAAAACGCCTCCTCAAACTTTGCTTAAACGATAAAACAATAGAAATTTTTCTCCTTGAGTGCTCTTTAACGCAACAAAGATTTTAAACAGTTCAAACGACACGGAAAAAAATTCTGAACCATTACTGCAATAGTCTGAAATTAAATTTTCAGGTACTCAAAGAATTGGGCAATAGGTTCGCTTCTCAAGTTCCTTGAAACCAGAAATAGCGGATATTAGATAATTCAAATGAAAAATCAAAAAAAAATTCTGGATATACTTTTTTTGGATTTTTTCAAAGTGATCCAAGTTAATAAATATTTAATACAAATATTTGGCTAACACAGATAGGATTGATATGTTGGGGTTCCCCACCTGGGAATTTGTATAAATATTTGTACTGCTACGCTTCCTTATTTGCTAAGATCCATTAAAAGTAACAATGCCTATTCGATTTGTCGATCTTTGCATGTTTGATGTCTTTCCAATATTTTAATTTCTTTTCTCTACGAGTAATTTACTAAAATTGACTTCTGATTGACGACAATAGAATTAGTTATCCGTTTAGTAAAACTTTCAATAAAAGTACTTTTTGTCTTCGCATTTCTTTACTATTCTCCCACATCACCTTTCAGAATGATCCAATTAGAGAATTCAGTCTTGTTTCTGAAAATTTTGCTTTTCCTTGCAAGGTATAATTTTTCAGTAAGGTTGTAGCATTCTCTATTCCGAGACTCTATGAATAATAACTTCCTTGTCACGGTTCTGCGCAAATTTGAAAACAGAAAAATTGTTCGAAAACTGCGAAAAAGGATATACTTTCAAAATACAGGTGTAGAGAAGCAGAGTGGTAGGTTTTATAAAACTCTTAGAAAATTTTTTTTTACGCATAAAGAGGTTCATCCTGAACACAAATGTCATGGTTATTCGAGTCACCGAATATATTTAGTGCAAGTGAAACTGTAATGATTTCCAAATTTGGTTCACTTGAACCGTTTTAAACGGTGCAATTTCAATTGCCTTTTATTTTCTGAGCATTGACTTCGTCGCGCTAGCAGGCGTTTGACCAGCTAATACACAGTAATAACGGAAGCTTTGCTAGCTTCTTGATAACAGTTAAACGCCTACACAGAATAAACAAATCTATTGAATTCAAAATGCGATTAAGGCAAACAGTATTACTTGGCCACTTTATTCCCAATAAAAATAGTTAGATTGTTCAATGCTGTGCAAACAATCATTTTAAAGCGCATCTAGTATTGTATTGAGTCAAACTTCCGATATGACAAAAAAAGCACACAGTCACACACTGACAACACAATAAAACCGGAATGAAAGCTTCAGTATTGTATATTAGATTACTTCCTCTGAATCTTTAACACCGCAACGAAACTTACTCTTTTATAAAAATATTTTATGGAAAAATATAAGGAGCTCAAGGAAGGATTGCAGTCAGTGTGATGTGTGTTCGACATTGCGCGGGAGAGTCTGGACTCGAGTTACTTTCCACTACCGGTATGCGCTGTGGCATTTTCTTCTATGAAAAGATGACAATCTCATTTACAAGTCATCACTTCACGATGAGCCGTTATTTATAGACTAAACTCATAAAATGTTTTCTGCAAAGTAAGTGAAGTAACCTCGTCGAATTCATTCAACTCAGTTTGAGAACTTGACGTTAAATTTAGTCTTGACTCGACGCTCTTACTACCACGGTGTACGTAAGTAACTTACTAATATGAATGCACATTGCACGCGCTTTGCTTCTTCAATTCTTTAAGCTGATAAGTTATTCAGCGTTGTCCAGTCAAGCTAAAACTAAGTGAGAATTTGGGAACTGGTAAAGAATAGGAAAGACCATGATGACGTATTCGATTCGTAACTCTAAAGGGAAAAGAATAAGTATCGAAGACATCCATGATAATTATGCTTTAGGAAGTGAAAAGACACGGAAAAACATTAGGAAGTGGAAGTTGAACTGCTGAGAGAGAATAAAGTAAAATTCGTTTTGAATTAGAAATACTGTGACCGAAATGGCAGCCTTGGATTTTTGGACACTGAGGTTTTGCGGGAGTCTAGGTCTACATTCCCTTGATCTGCTTTGTATCGTCATTCCTGTTACGTTTTGTTCACTATAGTTTTGCCGTTTAGAGAAATGACTAAGTTTAAACGGTTTAAGAACGTATAATTGTACATAGTTTTAACACACAAAACTATATCATTTTCCAAAATCTCAGCCTTGGGAATATTCTTATATTATTCTTAAAATTTCGTAAATTTTAGCCTCGATATTCTTATTGAAAGAAAAGAGAACATGGGTTTTATCGACTTACATAAGCGGCCAGCATCATTGACGAAAGAAGCCTTTTCTTTAGTTTAGTTCCGGGTTATTTTCTACTAACAGCTGGTCACGGTTTAATTAATTTTGGCGTAGCTGAAAAAACGTTGTGTTGTCGTCAAATTTTACGAAGCTCAAAATGCTGTAATTTGATATCTCCTGTAACCTGAGAGGGGTCAGTTTTTCATGACAAGTATGGTCCTACGGTTCGACAAACAATTCATTAAGCAGTTAAAATAAACCGTGCTCTGTGCTCCTAAATGTGCTTAATTTTATATTAAGAGAGGGCGAATAATAATTATTATCTGAAAAAATCAAGCAGGAAATTTGGCGGATTAATTCTAAAGTAGCCGAATGATGAAACAGCTGTATAAGGCTATATTGCTCCGCGAATGCTTTGAAGTTTGTCGCCAATTGCTGGTTATCATCACTCATAAGCGCTCTGTGGTCCTTTCCTACGTCACTAGAATCGATCCTCTTTTTAAACTAACCATCCTGTCGACTTTTTTTTTTCAGCCTGGAATTTTTATATGATTCGAAAGCGAACTATTATTATACAGTGTCCTTCGTTAGGACGAAAATAGATTATTGCTTTACAAGAAATTAGACTAATATTCTGCTTTAGAAAGAATTTATTTTTCCCAAGTATTTATATCTTTCAAGCACTTTAGCAGCCTCTCAGCTGATTCGAAACCTAACCCATTATCAATCAACTGACGAAAAAAAACTGACGTCTCTGTATCTGCTGTAGCCCGTGTACAGATCCCTCTCCCCTCAAAAAAAAGTTCTCATATTATACCCAGACCCTTTAACATGAAAAAATTTCGGCCATCCTTTTAAAACGAGTTGAAGTTGTGCCAGTAAAATACTTTTTTTGTACATCTCACGCAAAGGGGAGAAAAAATTAAAGTGACCACTCAATAGATTATAAAAGTAAAAAATCAAGTTTTTTCTTATTTAAATTTATAGTTAACTAGTACAATTTGCACATCTATTTGAATAAAAAATTTCTTTTCGAAATACTGTAAAAACTTATTCTTTTATAACGTCTACTTTTCTAATTTTTTATATCTTTTTTTTACTGATACAGCGATTCGGAAATCTGACTAGAATGAGCACTAAGCTCTACGTTACAAACTTCATTGATACAATGTACGAAAGAAAAATTCTTTGGCTTTGCTCTCTTGACGTTTCCAAATTCATCTGAGGCAAGGGAGGGACTCGAGTCTAGAATTTTTGGTTCAACTGCTTGTAAAGATCTCCTTGTACTGGTATGAACCAGTAGAGCAATTCTTTCAGCACGCCCAGTTCCCACTCGTCCTGTTCTTTCTGTGTGGCGGTAGGTTTGAGGGTGGGCTGGACAGAGGCACCCTGATTCGTGATTTGATAACCACGACACACTTCCTGTGCAAAAAAAGAAAAAAGGACAGTTTGTACGGTCGGTCAATAGGCCAACTGAAATACTTATGTTCTTGGTAAAGACGATCTCAAATTTTGTTATTTGATTGGTGAGAAAAGAGACCTGAGCTTTCCTTGAAAGATAAGGCAAGTATGGTAAAAAAACTATTTTTATCATTATGACGCAGTCTTCGGCTTTCATAATAGTATTAGAGACCTTTAAATTCTAAGGCGAGTACGACTACGAGTACGAGATTTTCTCATTACAACGTAGTGCACGCGCGTGAGCCAGTGTCATTTTGGCGGGAAAATTTTGTAGCCGTCGACATTCTACTACGAGTTTTCGCGCGAATGTCGTAGTGGCGAAAACAAGATATCAAATGTTAGAAGTTTTGTCATTTTGCGATCGGGAGAGCGCGTCACCTCCTTCACTAAAGATAACAATGCTAACTTTTCTAGCGAACAATGGTAAAATGAAGCTTTCTGGGAAGTCTATATTTTGAGAACACGCGAAAAAACTTCAAGTCAAATCTCGTATTCGTAGTCTTCCTCGTCCTCGAATCTAAAGGTCTCTATTATAGTATTACATAGGGCAAGAACGAAGACATATCTGAATGTCTAGGAACCTCCTTAAAAGATATGGGGAAAAATAAACAGCTTCTTTGTTCATAAGACATGTAACAATGCGTTTACAATAGTAACAGATAGGACGAGAACAAGGCAGCAATCACATACTTATAAAGTCTGGGTTAAACTCGTGCAATAACTGAAATCTTAAATAAATCGACTCGGAATGAATGAAACCACTGATCGTAACCGCTTTAAGTAGTATTAACTAGTAATTTATTATTCTGATTCACTCACCAGATCCTTAAGGTTGCCAATTAACCTGTTGATTTCTCCATCAATGGTTTCGAACTTGGCCAAAAATATACTGTCCTTCTTCTCGTGAGATTTAATCTCATTGAGAAATTCTTTAAAGGTGTAGAGATCTTTTATTTCCATCTGAAGAAGTGTTTCTTCCTAAACGAAAAACGTATAAATAAATAGATAAATAAATAAAATCGCATGTTTAATAACTTCATTCGCAGAGTATTTCAGTATCGGAAACACACTTTCCATCTTCGATTCCAAGAAATCTTTTCTTTTGGTCGTATTTACTTTTCATGGTTGAGTGCATCATAAAAGCCCATAGTCGAAAATTTGCATAATTACTCAAAATGAAAGTCGTACACTGTCTTGCATCTATCCTATTTTTAGGTTTAATGTCGTTCTGTATCCATCTCAGATATTCTTTAACCTTTCAAAAAAAATGATCCTGAACAGTTTAAGCAAGGAAATAACTAGCGCCTTGTCTGAAGATACAGCTTCATGTACAAGCAAGATGAAAAGGACTGATGCAAGGATAAGACTTGTGTGAGCTTAAAGAGAGAAAAGGACGAGAGGAGCTGTTATCGCTGATAGAGATGTGTGTTTGCCAACCAAAATATATGATCCTGATTGATGTTAGGTTAGAAAGCTTCCACTAGAGCATCCAAACCTCTGAGCTCAGTCCTTAGAATTAAAATTAACGGTCTAAAGATTAGCAAATCAGTATTGATCTTAGACCAGCTTGCTGAAACAATTAACTTTTTGTTAGAAGATCTAACTTGTTTCATGTTAAGGTTAACTTTTTTAAAAGTTTGTAATTTTGCCTTGGATTTTTGTTATCTACAACTGTTGGCGAGAATAAAACCCTATTTTTAAGCACGACCTTCAACATTTCAAACTGATGTGAAAGATTTGCGTCTTTGTAAAGCTGTAACTACTGCTGTAAGGTACTTACCTGTAGCTGATCTGGATGCCAAATTGGTCGAGGTAATTGTGGAATTCTGTGCACATATTCGTCGTAGTCTCTGTTACCAAGACGAACCTTGGCCTGAAAACAACAGGGAACAAATTAAGACCGAGCTATGTTATCACAATTAACGTTTAAGACGAGGATGTGGAATTCTAAAAATCATTAAAGAGAATAAGATAAAAAACTTTAATTCTTAAGCGCGGCGTCGCTTCCATGATCTTTTAAGGTGATGTCAGCGAGTGCTACCGATAGATATTTCAGTAGTTAGCCGTTTTCCTTCGCCTTGTTAAACTTCCGCACAAGTGAGCATTGATCATAACGACCTCAAAGTGACCCTAGCATTTCGTATCTTACTTATTTATCAGGAAAAAAAAAAAGTCAAAATAGTGCAACGTAACTCTGGCACTTTTGTTTCCGTTTAAACGGCGAGGGTAGAGGCTCAATTTTTTCGCAGCTGATTGTTGAGCACATGGCGGTTTCGTTTAACTGTATCCAATGTATGTGACACTTAAAATTCTCAACACGCCAAATATATAACAATGACTCACTCTAAAACAGCAGTTTTTCAAAGCTCTTATTATTAATTAGTACACATGCATAGGGAAGTAGTACGTAAAGACCGTTAGCTGGAATTAGGCATTAATTCAGCAAAATGATAAGATCAAGGGGGGGATCGATCAAAGGAAGCATTTGTGAGAGTTACAACTTTTGAAACTATTGATCTCACTTACAAAGTCTGCTTGTATTTCACCAACAGTCTTTGAGAGCTGGACGAAATGGGAATAAATAAAGCTTTTTATCAATTCTGGCGATGTGGGCAAAGACACGCACGTTGACGAGGCATTTCCACTCCTAGCGAACATAAGCACAAACGTCCAAATGACGAAACAGGTGGAGTAAAAACCTGGAAAAAGGAAAAGATCTTTAGTTAGTGAATCGTCAGCCATTTTTTGGCTTGTAAAAAATACTAATGATATAATTATAATTATTAAAAAATAAAATTTGCTATATTTTACTTTTAGTAAAATAATTATTGACTGATTTAATGCTATAAGTATGTGACTCTTACTAGTTTTTCAACGATTTAGTTGAAGTTGTTTTTTTTATATTTCAGTGAGCTTTTCTCATTATAAATTGTTTTCTTCTAACTTAGAAATACAAACTAAAACTAAGTATTCAACTTTAAACATGTTAACTACGGCTTGCATTGCCTGAAAAGGACTCTAGTCAGCAACAAATACTTTGTGGTACTGTTGAAGTTCATCAGATATTCAACTTTCAATGATCGATTTATAGTGTTAGCAAGTAGATGACTGTCTAGTAAAGAATTAAGGCACATACCGGGATTGGAAGTCTTCATTCTGATTTCACAAAGATTGTGGGCTACGTTTCTCTATCTTTCACTGAATGGGCCACACACGTTGAAACGCCTGGTTATATTGTCTCTGAACAACAATGCCCGGGAATTTCGAAAATCTCAATTTTTCCCCTATTCAATGTCACAATTAAAAATAAAAAAATCCCGTTGCCGGTCATCCCGCACTGTGCATTTAAAATATAAAGTTAACATTTTTCTTGCGCTTTTCCTGTTTTTACTATTTCCTCTATCATATCCCAATCTAAGCAATGCCACCAGTTAAAAGAGTTTATCATTGCTTCTTATGCTTATTTCACTGAAATATGAGGCATAAACTGTTGAAAAAATTTACGTACCTCTAAATATAGACACTGTACATACTTAGCGGATGTCGTGACTTAAACGTTTTTCCCCCGGCAGCCGTTACGGACCCTTGGAATGTGCTGTTTGCGAGTCATAATGACATGCCAAACCGCCAAAGATAGAACAATTTATTTTTTTTGTCTTTACTATTATTTTCAGGCTGATTTTATCCCTCCTTTTCGACTTTTTCGCCAGGAGAGGCCACCCTATTGGTATTTTACGACAGTATCAAATTACAAAACTAGAAAACTGTAATTTGATGCTTCTCGTTGTAATATTATACTCGCTAATAGTATCGAGTCGTATTACAAACTAAACTTTAAATAAACAATAAAGAACGACGTCAACGATTTGGTGTTTTCACTGATCACTGAAATCTACTTCCAAGAAAGTGCAAAAGCCTGGCAATGTCAGAAATATTTCTTTCACTGATTTAAAATGAAAGTGATAATCTTAGCGTGTTACAAAAATTCGCACTTCCGTTCCCTCTACTAGATTCAACCGAAATTCAAAAAGCTAGTTGACTTATAACCGATTTCTCAGATCCAACTGACTTTCTTTTCAAGCTTAGCTTTTTAACCTGGCTCAGTAATAAATCGGTATAATTGTAGAATAGTTTAGGAAGTTTTATGTAGGAATACTGTAAACTATGAACCCGAGGCCTCACGCAGTTAGATTCAAACATCAACCGACACAAAACAAGGACATTCAGAGAAATCAAAGGATATATAAGCTAGACTGAGGGGATGTGTGTTTGCGTCTTTTTTTAATCAACTACTTTTAGCATAGTCCTGCCTTTCCTCAGAAACTAAGTATTATAACAAGCTTGATTTGTAATTCTTTTGACACCCGAGCTTATTTGTTTAACATTTAGTCCATTCTAAGGTTACATTTTACCTAAAAGTTGAAATAAAACAGATATAATCTGTCACCTTCATTATATTTATTTTTACTATTTTTATGCAGATTAATTATTTTGTAAGTGAAAACGCTGATCTGCCTTGTGTCACGAAAACGCCTTGATCGAAGATGCGGAGTTAGATCCCGGCCACCTCTTACGTCAATGCTATCATGTAATGAATAAAAAAGAACCTCAGATGCAACAAATAATTTTCCCTAATGATTTTCATTTCACAGCAAATTTTTGCCAATTTAACTCATGATTATCGAGAGACAAGGTGAATCAGGAATAATTACAGCTCAAATTCAACGTATAACAGTGTATTGTTTTAACGTTTTTGTATAACTGTAAAGGTTTTTGTCATTTAAATTGTATTTGTCATAAATTATACCTGTACCAGTCATGACAAAACAGAGACGTGAAGTGCTTTGATAATGTCATCGGGAAAGCAGAAGTAGTACAGTGAAACGTGATTGAACAGAGAAATTATTTCATTGAAGGAATCGAGCTTTCATTCGAACATTTGCTAATTAAAACATAATTAGAGTATAATTTACTACCACCTGGCTTGATAAACACTAGATTCTGAGGATATAATTTTGAATAACTTTCTTAAAATAAGTTAAGGGTCAATTTTCACTTCCGACGTAAAGAGAAAGGAAGTTGTTTGCGGTCACGGTAGTCAGTTTACAAAAAAGAAAACAGTTACCCCTATTCATATCCCGTTTTGTTCAAACAGAATAACTAGATCAATATATTCAGTAACTAACCTTAGTAATCGCCTTTGGAATAGAAAACGCTATATAAAAGGCAAACTCTTACAAAGTGCAAAGTGCATTGACCCAATAAGATCAGCGAATTGACTTACTCGCCCCCTGCTCCTACCTCCATCGATTTCAGAATTTCCTTGATTTCCACTTAAAGATGGTTTTGAATTACCGTAAGCAAGCAAAAGACGGGAATGCTTTCCTGGAGCAAATATAATTGCGTACACAAATGCAGTATATCCTACTTCTTGTTATATTCAGTCGATACAAAAATTCTCCCATTTGCCTATCACTTCTCCAAATTTGAAGCGGTGATTTCACTAATTAGCCAAACATAACAGCCGTATAAATATCGCTCAATAGCCGTGAGAATTATGAGGTACAATATTCAGTTCATGCAATACTTAGAAACTCGACGGCAGTATAATTTGCTATATTTTCTACACACCCAGAGCAACCAAGGTAGGGATCGGTTGGACAAGGATTGAAACTTTAAAAAGTTGGGCCAACTTTTTCATGTTTTAATGCTATGCCTGTAAAAATCAGTGCTTCCCGATGAAATTTGTTAGATATCTTCTTTATAACTCTACAGGAGCATTTTGTGTACGGATAAGAGTACTTAAGTTATGACTTCAGCACAGAGTTGAAGTAAAACATGATTGATTGTCGACTAGTTGATTAATTAATTGATTGATTTGTTACCGGCTACAATTGCCTTCAGTTACTCATCAGTGAAGTATTGTTTGATTCATCACTGACTTGCTGATCATTGACCGTTTGTATCCCTTTACAGCAAAAATGAATCTCAAAGCATTCGCCATTGTGTTTTTGACAACAGTTCTTCTTCTCTGTCAAACATCCCACTCAGCGACTTTGAGGAGTCGTATGTCCGTTGTTGGCTTTGCAGCTGCGGGATCGATACAAGGTGGTCAAACCTTGTCACCCGTTCAGGTTCTTGATGAATGGTGTACAAACCTGACGACACATCTCAACACAACTTTGGAAGAGTTTGTAAGTGAAGTATATATATAAAGAAGACTTCGTGGAAAGTGAAGGCGTACGATATTTACACAAGAGTTTTTGACGCATCAGAAATCGAACGAGTGAGCATAGCGAACGAGTGAGATTTCTGTTACAAAGACAACGAGTGCGTAAATACCGTACGAAGCACTTTCCATGTGGTTTAATTGTGTTTACCCCCTTTCCCAAGTCGGGCGCGTCTAATTTTCGCTTTGTTCGTTTTAATACGTCCCCACTATACTATCTGAGAGCCTGTGGCACAGGCTAATTATATACATACTGAGACAGTCATCATCTTGGCGGCCTTTTTATTTCAAATCTTTCCAAAATGCTAAAGTTTACCTCTAGTACACACCGCGAAATGACAACAAAATCGAAGTATTAGCTATATTAGTAAAAACGTTGGTTGAAAATATAGTGAAGGTAAGGATATGAGGTAATGCAAGAACTACAAGGGCGCTTTCCATTCAACAAAAATCCGGCTTGAAATTTCGGTAATTTCTCGTGCCCATGCAATGGAACGGTACTTCCGGTTGCACAGACCAGACCAGAGCCATCGCGCGTTTTGTTATTGTTCTTGTAAGCAGGATACAAAAAAGGATCGTACTGGGACAACAATTTTGTCAAATGGAAAAGGACATTTCGGTCTGACCGACCGAAACGACCAGACCGGTCAAAGTGGACCACCTTCAAAGCTGGTTCCGAATATTCTGGTCGGACCAAACCGAAATGGTCCGTTCCATTTGATGTACCAACCGAAATTTCCGGAATTTTGGTTTGAATGAAAAGGGCCCCAAGTAATCTTAACTGTTTAACCTGAATGCACCATTGAAAATAAATGAATTTAAGCTTAAGCTTAAGTATCGTTCTGTTTTCCCTTTCTGCTATTGTTTAACCGGCTCTCTAAAGTTTTCTTCATCGACAGTGGAACAAACCTCTGAACAAACTCCAATTTCCGAAATGTTTTTCACTTTTTTTACGAGAAAAACTGTTCGAGGAAAATGTCTGCGAAGCGGCGCTGCAAGGTGCAAGCGCCTACAAAAGGCGAGAATTTTGGCGCGAAACTCGCACACCTTTGTCGCCTCTGATTGGACGTATCATTTTTCTCGCACGTGATCTTATTGGACGTATCATTTTTTTTCACTTGTGAAAACCATCGATCGCTTCTCTGATCGGCTAGAACTCATTTGCGTATGAAAACTTACGACATAGCTTTTTGGTGGGTATTTCTCAGTATGTATGTAATAAATAATTAAAACAAGTACAAATGGCAAAACTTCGATGGTTCTATTTTGAGGGCATAAGAAAATCTACACGAGCCATGAGCTATAGCCTATAGCTTGCAGCTCCTGTAAATTTTCTTCTTGCCTCAAAGTAAAACTTTCGCCAAGTTTTACCATTTGATCGGATCATCAGTTGCAAAAGCCAGGCCAAGTTCGTGTACTTGCAGGCTATCAGATGTTTGCGGAAAATCTGATATATTTTTCATCCCTTTTGCTCATTACTAAATTTTGTTTTGAATTGCAGTGGTATACTTTCTCGGATTTTCGCTACTCTCCGATCGCAAACTTTAACTATGTACTGTATTTTTTATCTTAGGGATCTATCCCTTTCAAAAGATCAATGGGAAGTTCCTACATTTCAGCCTCTTCGGGAGTGACGGTGAGTGCAGCGCTTCAAGACAATGAAAGATACCTCAAAGCTGCTAAGTAAAACAGTGAAAGCGACAGTTAACCCACCTTATAACTTTGACAGAAGATAGATCCGTGAAACGCACCAATCACATTTAGAGTCTTCAGCCACAACCAATAACATTACGGCTTACTTGACAGACGACCAATAACATCGCAAAATAATTGACCAAAGCGGTCAATAACCAGAGATTAATTCCATCAAATGACCTGATACAACTCACTTTGAATCTGAAGATGACTACTGCACAAGTTTTCCAAAACGTCAGTTATGATCACTGTCAACAACAGTCCTATTCAGGGCTTTACTCGACCGAACGATCACATTCCACCTATAGTTACGAAGATATAGTGGTATAGTAGAGATTACTGATCACGGATCTTTCTTCTCCCTCAGGTATTGCAGAGGTTGACTTTTGACTTGAATCATATCAGAATCTACTCTTTATTGCTTAGTCAAATTCCAAGTGTCATGACAGGTCCACAGTTTGATCTGTGCTTGAAGGATGGTGTTCGCCTCCTGTCAGGACTAATTATTGGTATGGATATGGCGGTAAGTAATTCATATCTCAAAGCTTAAATTTCAGTTTAGAACTCCTTCAATTCCAGTGTCAACTGGCGCTTAAAGTAGTTTTTAGGACTCCTCTTCGACTTTGATCGTTTCTTTTTTTTCCAATTTTAGAGCTAGACCACGTAATGCGGAAACTGTTTTCAAATTTTGTCTCATTTGCATACCTATGAAAAAAGGCTAAAAGCAAATTTCCTTGAAACCGTCACATGACCTGAAATGGGGCAGAAATCTGTTTATTGCTATGACACGTTATTTACATAATATATAATATACATCATTGCCTAGAAACTCAATGTCTAAATAATACAAACGAGAGATGCGCCAATGACATGTAAATCGTTTCTTTCCCACGCTTTGCCTGTTGGTTTCAGGCTCAACAACGCCCTGTTTTTTAATCGAGGTTAAAACTTTCCTGGTTCCTCAATGTATTGTGAATATGATTTATCAACAGGGTTTTTAATTTATTTTAAATGAGTCCCCCCCCCCCACCCCCACCCCCACGAAGAGAAAAAGATGAACGACCGCTGTGAAAATTCCAAATCATCGTAGTACGCCATCTTAATAACTTTAAGATCTTATCAGTTGTCACTATTTTCTCTATTTCTCACGATAGGAAGCCTACTTAAACGGTACTTCTTCATTTCCGCCCCAGTTCCTTCATGCGAATAAGCTCAGCAGCCCAGCTCGATACCAGGACCTCAGTCGTGAAATGGCAGTGATTAAAAGTCAAATGAGAGAACTGGTCATTATTATTGGCAATAATATGTTTTCCAGCTCAGCGCACGTTGTTAGTGTATAAAAATTCCCAGCCCAAACGGAAAGGAGGAAAAAGGACAGTTAATAGTAGTCAATATTCAGTTCAAAAATGAATGAACTATTTCATATACTTCACATCATTCAATAATTAATCAATAACGGGGAAAAAATTTGTTACTGAGAACGATGATTAAAGAAGGAAATAAAATAATAAAAGAAGAAATATCTGTTAACCCAGCCAAAAGAAATTTTCTTTTTCATAACTTTAATGAGGATGGCATGAAGTGTGTGCGAGACAAATTTGACAGAGCTTTTACTTAAGAGTTTTGCTGTCAGTAATTCCCTTGCTTAACATTACTGTTTTTTGGGGCTTTGAAAGTACCGGAAACAAGCTGTTGTTGTTTACCTTCCAGATAGAGGGTTTGATAGTTTTGCAGACAAACATGATAAAACTATCAGTTAACAAAACAAAATGGCCTGTTTTGTCAGCTAGAACCCCTGCTTTTATTCTTTAGATTTTGATTTAAATATTAAATTTCGAGCCAGAAAAGTTACCAGGACTTTCGAGAATCGGGCTCCTGGTCTTTTGAAAGAAAGGGGTAGTTTGGTGGAAAATGCTTTTAAGCGTAATTATTGTCAAGCGTGTCACAAAAGGTTTGTAGTCTACTTTCTTCCACTGTCCATTCTAATAAGTTCATTACTGTCATAAATATGACGGAACGTAATAAAACGAATATAACGAGCAAAAACCAACAACAACAACAGCAATAATAATAATAAGAAGAAGAACAAGAAGAAGAAGAAGAATAAACAGTCCACTAAATAAGCACACTTTTATTCCAGGTTTTAAGAAAATACATAATTTCATCTTCAAAAATAAATAAATTGGGGAAATTAAAATAAACTGGGGAAAAGGCTTTGCCTTTACTCTGCAGAATTTTAAAAACACTGCTTTTTTTGTACGACAATTATCTCTGTACAGATTTCTTGATTTCTATTAGGGCGCCGTTTTTAATAACCCATAAATAACCTTCACCCTTTGGAGAAAGATTCGACGCAACGTTCAAGCACTGAGATTAAGTGCTGTGAGTTGTTATTCCTTTTAAAATCATTGTTTGTATCAGAGCTTGGTACCTAAAACATGGCTTTTTACGTGTTCATACCATTGGTCACGTGGTGCAAACCGCCAAAGAAAGGAAGGGTCACGACAACTAAAAGAAGTTATCATTTCAAATGATGTGAAGTCTTTGTTTGCCTTGTCCTAGTTGCGTTTCTCGCATACCAGCATGGAGGCTTTGCACCACGTGACTGGCCTGTTTTAGGGCCTGTTTACATGGAGGTGGGGGACCCCCAGTAAGTGAGGTAACCCGTTTAAGTGGAGTAGCCGGCCTTTCCATATAATGTGGTATTTTAATTTGATGACGTTTACATGATAGGTGGAGTGACCCGCCACATGTTACCTCACCTATCTGGGGTCCCTCATCTCCATGTAAACAGGCCCTTAGTTGTCACCAATACTGTCATAAAATTACACAGATGAAGGTAGCATAATTTGTCAGCCAAATTCACTTACAGAGCCCAAAATTATGAACGCTTTAGTGAAATGGCTGTTCCAGTTGTAGTGGAACAACCGCACAGTTTAGAAATTTTATGCTTTGCTTCGTTTCACATAGGAGACGTGTGAGCTCTCAAGTAGCATTTGAGTGACGTGTTTCTGTTCATACCAGATCAAAAATTCCCGTCTGTACAGTGACCAAAACATTCAAAAAACTAGTCTTTGGGCAGGCGGGAGTTCAAAGCGTCTCTCCCCATTCTCCGCGCTAATGCGCAAACTCTCAATACGGCGCTGACGTGACGATCCCGCCAGGCGGGTGCTGATCTGGCAACCAGGTGTTTGCTTAATTGCTGGTGGCTTGGTTGGAAAGGAACTCGACGTAGTTTGGTGTCGGGATGTCAGAAGCTTTCATATATTGACTCGCACTGTAACTGCAGTCCAACTTTTGAGAGGAATCTGCATAAAATCACAAATGAATTGAAATGCAAAATAAAACTCGGCTAATAAAAAGAGAAGAAAGGGCTGTTTTCCATAAGCTTCACTTGAATAGTGAAGTTAAACCCCAATGAACAACAGCAAAATAATAGCTATGACGGAAAGTTCAGCTTTTCAGCTTTCTCGACTGCCAAAGAGAACAAACAAAAGAAATGACTGCTCGGAGGGTTATTTTATTTTAGTATATACACACTCAGTGATCTTGGTGATTCAAGCAATCTGATTGGTTCGCTATCTCGGACTATTCAACAATATTCACCTCCTAGCGAGTGGATAATGTGTGAGCTCGGTGTTTTTCCCATCTTTTTAGAGAACGATCTTTTAAAAGTCGACAAAATCCTAGGGCTGACTTCTTTTAAGGCAAGAAAATACTTGGAAGGGTTCAATACGGCGTTTTTCAATTTACTGTAGCTGAGTTTTGTGCTCGATGGATTGTTTACAACTCCCGTGTATTCGCGTAGAAGAAGCCGTTTCGTGAACTCAGCATTTTCTAACAAGAAAATTTTCGCTCAGAAATCGAAGTTTATTTATGAAAAACAAATTTAAAAGGAAATGTTTGCAGAAATTCTACGTTTCAAGTGAACAGGAAAAAGAATGATACAGGAAGACGAAGTCTTACCTCGAGCAACCGAGCCGCCATTTTTGTGAGCACTTCATGCGAAGAACGACACAACAAACCCTTTTGGCTATAAACTTGGCGAGTCAACAGAAAACAACAAAGCTCTACTTTTCTTCTCAGGTAAGGAAACAGTTCAAACTTTTAGCGGTTCCATT